CTCTCTCTCTCTCTCTCTCTCTCTCTCTCTTGCCACAAAGTCCACATTCTCACTGGGTATGTAGAAGAGATAACAAAAAGATATCTCTGGGTAGCCAATGAAAATACACCGCTCGCTATGAGGTTCGAGCTTGTCTTGAGTCTTACGTGTCACGAAATCCTCCTAACCCCAATTTTAGATATGGTCTACATTGGGAACTTTCCCAGTCCACATCTTATGAGCTATTTTGGCAACGTTCTTGGCAGGGACTAGATTAAGGATATGGGCGGCACTCTCTAAGGCATACCCCCAGAATGAGATTGGTAACGAAGCTTGACTCATCATGGAACGAACCATGTCTAACAAGGTTCGATTACGCCTCTCAGCTACAACATTAAGTTGTGGTGTTCTAGGAGGTGTCATTTGTGAAACAATTTCACATTCCTTAAGATAGTCAAGAATCTGTAAAAAGATACTCTCTTCCTTGATCGGATCAGAGCATCTTCATGTTCTTGCCCAACTGATTCTCCACTTCCTGTTTAAACTCTTTAAACTTTTTCAAAGGTTTCTGACTTATGTTTGATTAATTAGACATCACCATATCTATTGTAATCATCAGTAAAAGTCACATAGAAATGGTAGCATCCCTTGTGGCGGTTCTGAAGGGTCCACACACATTTTTGTGTATGAGGTCCAACAAACCTTCACCCCTAGCACAAGTACTAGTGAAGGGTGACTTTGTCATTTTTCCAAGAAACCAAGACTCGCAACTATCATCTGACCTTAAGTCAAATGACTCCAAGACTCCAGCCTTCTGGAGTTGGCCTATGCGCTTCTTGTTAACATATCCAAGACGACAATGCCACAAGAATGCTTCATCCAAACTAGTGGAAGAATCGATATGTAATACATTATTTCCTATGTTATCTACAACCGAAACAGTTTCATATACACCATCACAAGGTAATGATTTAAAATAAAGAACATTATTATAAAAAAAACATTAATACCACCACATTCATTATCAAATGAAAAAGTAAATCCTTGTTTGTACAAACCGTGAAAAGAAATTACATTTCTCTCCATTTCGGACGAGTAACAACACTTATTCAAATATAACACTAACTCACTACTTAGCAACAAAGAATAAACACCAATCTTGGCGACAGGTGAAGCTTTCCTATTCCCCATGATCAAGTTTATCTTTCCATGCTCCACATCCTCACTTCTTCTTAGGCCCTGCAAATCAGAACATACATGAATACCACAACCTGTATCAAGAACCCAAGAAGTAGTATGTGGTGATTTATTAGACAATATAGTGTAAATATTTGACATCCCCATTTTTACGCCAAGAAAATACCGATTTTGTTTATGCTTTATAAAAATTCGAGTGCCTATTTTATTAAAAATGTTGCAGAATTTGTTCCCAGTAAAACATGAAAAATACGTTATCAAGGCATTTCCAAAGAGAAGTATTTTTATTCATTTTAAAACATTTGGGATGTCATCATCAATACAGAAATATAAGCATAAACAAAAGTTACATTCATTATTACTAGTGATTTATATCTCCTTAATCTATCGGTGTAATGTGACTTCATGTCAACATTTGTGATATAAATAAACTGAGTGGGTTAAGTTGGGAAACCTGGTGAGTACATAAGGTTTTCAACCAATAATAATATAATTATTATGTTTATTCATCAAACAGTTAACCCAATTGCCGATCCCCATTATCTTCTTTAGTCTTAAGGATCTACCCTAAGAATCAGCTATTTCTTATACATTCATTCATAAAGATTATCCTAAGGAATAGGTACGAAATCCATCGTTGTCAATGACACAACTATCAAGCACAACTACTAGTTCTATCACTTAGGCATAGATGCCAGAATTGTGACATTCTATATGAGACACAGCTGCCAGTATTATCCTTCGAGCACAACTGCTAGGGTTATCTCATTTATTGATAATATCGTTTTCGAGAGTCCACTCGCTATACATGTCAATGGGTTTTTAGAGTACACCGGTGAACACATCGTTCACAACACCTATAGGTTGCGAGCCTGTTAGTGTTCCACTGGACTGTCTAGAATAGTATGTGGTTGTCATCTATACTCTGCTAGACGACGGGGCCAGTGTTAGGCGTGTCAAACCCAACAAATAAAGGGGTACAAAATGACTCCAAAACATTGGTACTTTTCACTAAAAATATAATACAAGGTAAGCAGGGTCGATCCACAGAGACACGGGACAAGTAATTATACCTTTTTGCGTAAGGCACAAAAATGGTCACATAAATGGGGGTTGGTATGCAATGATTTAAACAAGAGGATAAAGCAATAAGTAAATGATCAATTAAATGAAACAAATTCAGGATTTTTGAGAACTCCAACTCTATACAAGACAATTTAACAATGTGATTCCAAGGATGAAATGATATCTACTCAATTCCACCTAAGTTGGTACTTGAAAGTGTTAACAAGTTCTAACACTTCCCATTCACCAAGTTGTCAAATTCAAAACAAGCTATTTGGAAATAACCCAACCTTCTAATTTAGGTCTAAACAAGCTCTTAGATAAAAATCAAAAGGTTGCAATAAGATTTATGTGAATGTTCCCAACAACACTCAATACTCCTCACAAGTTCGAGAGTTTAAGAGTATGTGAATAAGATTTGTACTAAATTCGTTCAATATAAATAAATTTAGTGTTTGCTACTTAGTCCAATTCACAAAAAAAATTACGGATTTTGCAATTAGATAGCTTGAATAACCTAACCCTAATTTAAATGGCCAATAAGAATCACAATTAGAGTCAAACATTTAATTGAAACAAAATCAAATTCACTAGGTAGGAATTGGAAGCAAACACCAAATCACATGATTGAAATCACAACTAAAAAGTCAAGACATGAAGTTAGAGAATAGAACAAGATCACAAGTCTAAAAGATGGAAGTAATGTGCAATTACAACTTACAAATACTAGAAATAATGTTTCCAAATGATTACTAATCAAAACCTTGCAAAAACCATCGAAATCCTCTCTCAAAATGTGCTCTGATATGTTGTGTGTATGTAAAAATGGCCCTCAACCCGAAATATGAAAGATACGAAAAACTGCCAAAAGTTGGTTTTTGGGCTGAACACGGTCTGTGTTGGGCATAAGGTAAAAATAACTTGACCCGTGTTCAGCATGGTCAACAACTTCTTCTTTTCTGGTCAACACGGCCCGTGTACCTTTGAAATGTAAATCTAACATGGCCAGTGTTTCTCTCTGACTCCAATTTCAAACTTGATTTTTCCAACTTTTTCATTCTTCGCCTGATCATCCCGAAATCCTCACCAATGCTTCCCAACACCTCCCAAAGCGTGCTCCAACCTCCGGTTTACCTGAAAAAGGCATGAAAATGTGCAAATAAGGTTGTTCTAGAGACTAACATGAAATATGATGAAATGCAAGACAAATGAAGGACAATTATCCTAACTAGATGCATAAGAAGGGACTAAAATATGTGCAAAATGGTGCACAAATGCACCTAACAAATCTCCCCAACCTTAGACCTTTATTTTCCCTAAGAAAGAACAAGAATCGAACAATACAGGACGATTTCTAGATGTCAAAAAGAAACATAGAGCAAAAAGGGACAGAAAAATCCTAAGGGCTAGGAATGAATGCATGGAATGAAAACCATGAAAAAGAAAAAAAAAATATATGTATAAAATAATTAAAGAAACAAAATGAACCAAAAACAAGTTTAAGACACAAGTAAATAATCTATATAAGTACAATCATGCTTTACATCAATGTGGCTCCACTCATTAATACCTAGGCAACCATGTTGCTTCCTTCTACATATCACAGACTCCCAAAGTGAGGAAGACCCGAAACGGTGTAACCCAATCACCCGAAAATAGTTTTATTTAAACTTCATACCATAATTAGCTTTATGGGTGAAAATAACAGAGTCTGGATCTTATGTCCTTAGGAACCCATCATGGCGAATCAGCTTTCGATAGAGAGCCCACCCGAAGGGGCCCAACTCCTATGCTTTCACTTTTTCGAGAGCCACAAGTATCATATCACACAGTTCTTTATTCCCAGATTTGACTTTGAGGCAGCTTTTGATTTTTTTTTTCAATCTACTTTTGAATTTCTGAAAATTTCTTCGTTTTGGCACTTGAAATTCTAATTTGGGTACTGGATATGATAGTTGTACCCTTGCTTCTTTCTTGACTGTGTGGATCTGATATTTAAGCTCTCTATTACCGTGAGGGCAATGCGTGTCAACAAATAGGTCCGTGTTCTGTGGGTTCATAGTTGTCGATAAATATTCTTTTTAAACATTCAGAAGCAAATCATCCTAAAGTTGTTATTCCCGCCCACAATACGTTTCAGTATGCAAATTTTGTTTTCTAAGGCTGGGGTCTCGAGTTACGGTGTTTGGGTCCCCTAGTTATGACAACTGATTCTACATTTCCGATAACTATCCGATCGCCTCAGTATTTTTCTCATTTGAGTTCTTGATTTCCCACTTCATGGAGCTATTTTATGTAAAGAACGTCATCATCTCGTACTCTTTTTTTTAATGATGATGATGACGCATGAAAATTATAAAAATGATAAAATGAAAAAACTTGAAATAAAAACCTTTTTAAAAGCATGCATGAATATGAAATGCACTGAAAATGATAAAAAAAAATGATAAAATGTAAAAACTTGAAATATGTGAGTATGAAATGCAACTAATGTACAACTCTACCCCTCCCCAAGCTTAAATATATGCATCGTCCCCAATGCTTGGAGAAGGTGGAAAAGCCTATTGAGGAGGAGGAGGAGGATAAGGGTAATAATTGGAGTTTCGGGTCCAAGCCCAAAAGTGCTCCTCATGGTTATGCTGGCACTCTTGATCCCGAGTGTATTGAGTGGTGAAAGAAGAGAAACTTTGAGTCAGGGTCGCGAGATCTTGATTGTAAGTGTCGAGATAGGTATGGATCGATTGGAATTGATCAAAATATTATTGGTGATAGGATAGGTGTCCAGCTTGATGGGATGAGTTGGCACTACCCATGGGAGGAGAATTTTGTTGTGCCGCCTTGCCACTCTCGTCACTGTCTCCATCTTCCTCTTCTTCCTCTTCAGAGAAGGAGTTGGGGAAGAGATATGGTGTGATTTTCCAATCGGTGAAGTTGTTAGGATGCCTGAGGGCAAGGATGTCCCGATTCTCAAGGGTGATGAGGAGCCTTAGATCGTGGTTTTGACCCATGGTCCAATTATGGTTCCTATCCTCCACCCGAAACATTCTCATAGATTCAAGAACTCCCGTGGTAAGGTACGTCTCATCGGGCAAAGGTTGGTGAATTCCAGAATATGGGGCTCATATTGGAGCACTTTTGGCAAATAATCTGACAATGCCACCACAAGATATTTTGTCGGACCGTGATGTGTTGAGGCAGGTGAGTTTGTTACAAAGGAATGAGTCATAGTGAGGAATGAGATTATTATCCGAGTGGGCCATAGGATAGAGTATTTTGAGCTCAAGAGCACTAATTGTGCTTCGCTATTCTCTATGGGCGATGAGCGAAGCAAGAATACGATGGGCTGCTTTCATCACAGGATTGATGATAGATGAGGCGTTAGCAAAACTTGAGACATACGGGTGTAGATGAGTAAGGTCGGTCCACCATGTAAGATCATTGTATCCGAGAATTGAGTCATTGGGGCCAAAAGTGTTTTCTGTTGGGGTCCCAACAATGACATTTATTTGGTCTAGGGACACTGCATGATCTTGGTTCATTAATCGGAAATTTAGGACACCATGGTCCAAATAGACTAAAGATAAAAACTCGGTTGTTGGAACTTTATAGCCGAGCTTGTGGACCCTTAACAACCCTTGTCATCCAATGTTCCGAAACAAGGTGTGGACTTTGTTGTAGATGTGCAAGTCGCGGAGAGATGGAACATGCACAAATTTTTGGGTAGTATGCGCACGTTCTAGAAAGGCCTCAAGTTTGGCAACTTGAATAGGGCCAAGACAAACCACACCACCATGGGTCAGATTGGGTGGGGATTGAGGCGGGGGTGACAGGGAGCTAGATGATGGTGATAGGGTTCTACGGTGACGGCCAGAGGACTTAGTGTGCCTCGGTCATTTAGAACGTTCACCTTCCATATGCAAAATCTGGGGCAAAGATGAAAAGTCAACTGGTCAACGGGTCAAAAAGTCAACTGTTGACGGGTCAAATCAACTGAAGTTTGGCCACTAAAAATTAGCAGGAAACTCAGTTTTGAATAATTTCCAAGTTATTGTGAACTGCAAAATGACCACAGATACATGCAATTTGACCTTAAGAACATAAATTCCACAAGTGAAGAATAGGAAAGAATGTATTGAATCGTTAGTGGAAATGTGTTTTTGTTGGTGAGAAAGACCGTTTCAACCTCCCTAAGGTTGCCTACATGAAGAATTAAGCACAAAATACCAAAATTCTAAGAAATTTTCGGACCTAGGGTTTGTCAACCCCCCCCCCCCCCCTCAAATCTATCATGAAAATGCAAGAAGATGTTGTATTAGATGTAGGGGATGAAGTGGGGAAGATGAAAATCAAAAGTTTTTGAATATTTAAGCCAAAATCATGAAGAATCAAGGGATATTTGATGAAAATCGGACCTTGGGGTTTTCTTGGGTGAAAGGGGCTGTTTTGGAATGAGTGTGTGGAAGAATGGGGAAAAAACCTGATTTTTAGCATTAAAAATCACCAAGTCTGCTGCGCGAACACGACCCATGTTGGGCATAAGGTAGAATTGGCACGACCCGTGTTGGGTGTAAAATATGTGAGATTTGGCTGAACACTCCCCGTGTTGAACATAATGTAAACTTGACACGGGTCGTGTACCCCTCTGATTGCCGAAGTGTTTTCCATTGATGAACACGACCCGTGTTCGTTATAAAGTAAAAGTAACACGGGTCGTGTACTCATCTGACTGTCGGACTTCTTGCCATTGATGAACACAACCCGTGTTAGTTAAAAGGCAAAAAGAACATGGGTCGTGTACCCCTCTGATTGCCACTTCCACTTTTTGAACCCAAAAATTTCCCTCTTATTCAAATGAAATATTTTTGCATTCCGAGGTCCGTTTGGTGATTTTAAATCATGTTTAAATGCATTTGGAACATTGAAAACCAAAAAATCAAAAAAATGGAAATTGTTTTTAAAGAAAAAGAAATAAATACCCCCTGGTTGCCTCCCGGTAAGTTGCCCTTGTTTTAAGTTGTTGGGTCGACTTTGGCCCCGCATATGCTTCAGTCTTGGTACGTGGGGTTCCCAACAACTTCAATCTCATCATTCTTCACCTCAACTGGGAGTTTTGAAAGCGGTACTATATGCTAACCGGGAGATGACATGCATTTCCATACACTAGCCTATAAGGGGACATACCAATGGGAGTTTTGAAAGCAGTACTATATGCCCATAAGGCATCATCCATCCTTATGCTCCATTCTTTGCTGCTTGGATTGACTGTTTTCTCCAAAATGCTTTTGATTTTCCTGTTTGAGACCTCTTCTTGCCCATTGGTTTGTGATAGGTTGTTGATACTTTATGAGTCACATCATACTTCTTTAGGATAGCTTTAAGCATCCGATTGCAAAAGTGAGTACCACGGTCACTTATTAGAACCTTTGAAGTGCTAAACCGGGTGAAAATATATGCTTTTAGAAAATTCACCACAACTTTGGAATCATTAGTACTATTGGCTTTGGCCTCCACCCATTTGGACACATAGTCCACCGCCAACAAGATATATGAACAACCAAAAGAGGGCGGAAATGGTCCCATAAAGTCAATACCCCATACATCAAAGATCTCACATACTAAAATGGGGGTGGGGAGCATTTGATTCCTAGAGCTTAAGGATCCGGATCTTTGGCATATATCACATTGTGCACATAACAAATAAGAATCGTGAAAAAAGGTAGGCCAAAAGAATCCACTATCTAAGACTTTTCTAGCTGTCCTTTGGGCTCCAAAGTGACCTCCACAAGCATATGAATGACAAAAATTAAGGATGGATTGTACCTCTTGTTGATCAACACACCTTCGGATCAGTTGGTTGGCAGAATACGTCCAAAGGTAAGGCTCATCCCATACGTACCGCTTGGCTTCCTTCTTGATTTTATCTTTTTGCCAACGTATGGAATCCGGGGGAAATTGATTTGTGGCCAAGTAGTTGACGATATCTGCATACCATGGTGCTTCTTTGGCTACAAATAAATGCTCATCTCGAAATGTATCACGGATTGGTTTTGTGTCTTCGGGTGGCACAATACGGATGAGATGAT